TGTGTGTGTGTGTGTGTTATGTATTAGGTTTTGAAAGCAATTTCTCAGTATTAAACTTATTGAACACATAAATAAAAAACTAAAAATTGGTTACAATTTATATATATTACAGTATTTACAGATTTTGTTGTACTGTGTATTATACTGTATAGTGCTTATGGGAAACGGTATGTGTAATACACATACATACACACAGACACTGTATTGAACTGTTTTATATAAAAACAGGAGATTTAAACACATTTATAAAATATGGGTTGTGTTTAACACCAATAATAATGGTCGGTCATCGGCGCTATTACAATGTATAAGTAGTGGGTGTGTGTGTGTGTGTAATAAGCACAGGGATATTAATACATATATATATTTATAAACTACATCCACACACACACACACACAAAAATGTCGGACATTTATTTTTTTCAAAATAGCCGGTAATAGTAGTAGTGATAGTAAATAGTTTAGCCGTTAATCTTAATCAACAATATATAATGGATATACCTATTGGTGTCAAATCATTAGTATAGGGTTTAAAGTCATTGATATAACCACACACACACACACCGGTAGGTCAAATAAACTACAAGTGCTTTACTATATAAAAAATTGAAACAATTATAAATACAGTGAAATTCCATTATAATGTTTATATAAATATAATTTTCTAAATTATTCAAGGAAATCAATTTTGCAAAAAAAGCTAATAATAAATTTTATCAATTGATAATAAATATGTGTATAATTCATATAAATAATATAATATAAATATTGATAATTATGCTAAATAATTTATTTATTAATTTGCACATACATTAGTATTAAACAATTTTTTATTATAATTAAATTGTTAATTTTGTTATTTATCATAACTAAATATTAAGAAAATACATTACAATAGTTTTATAATTATTTCAATTAGTTTCAATTTATTTTTTAACCAATTTATTTTTATAATAATAAATATATATGATATTATAAATAGTATTGGGTATATGAACTTCAATTTAACTGTATATAAAAATGACAAATATATTATATATATATATATATATATATATATACGGTATATACTGTATATATATATATATTAATGTCCTAACAATAACATCAGTACTAACGGCTAATGTCTTTAAGAGCTCATAATCGCGTATATTATGGATCACTCGTTAACCTTATATATAGGATATATATAGGATATATATATATATATATAGGATATATATACTAAAGTATTTCGTAATACATATTGATATACAGTATATATATATATATATATAACTATACAATATATATATATATACCGTATAAACCTTTAATATATATTATTATTATAAGATATGGCATTTTTAGTGTAGAATAAATGGCATATTAGACACACAAAAAATTGTTTGAAGCAATAAATGAACAATTCATTAGTTATATATATATATTATATATTATATCCACATATAAGACACTCATTTTTATCAAGTGTGTGAGTAAGTGAGTGTTAAAGTGGGTGAGAGATAGAGAGAGAGAGAGAGAGAGAGTGAGTGTTAAAGTGAGTGAGAGAGAGAGAGAGAGTAAGTGAATGTTAAATTAGAGAGAGAGAGAGAGAGAGAGATTGGATGAGTTTAATAATTTTTTTATTATTATCTACCAATTTATTAATGATATAAATAATAATAATAATAATTTAAAATATTTGAAAAATAATTATAATTTAAATAAATTCTATTAATATATGATAAAACATTTATTTTAAATATATTTTTTAAATATAATATTTTGATAGAATATTTTGAAATTTATTGATATATATATATTGTATATATATTGTAAACTATATTATAGATTAAAATACAAATTATATATTTAAAAAAAATTATTAAAAGTATGCTAAATATTTTAATGATAAATTTTAATAGTTTTTCAATAATATTTTTATTTGTTTAACTATTTGAAGATAGCAAAAAAAATTAAAAAACTAACAAAACATTGTTTTATATATTTAATTTTTAGTATTTTTATTATTCAATATATTTTGAAATAAATATATAATTTATATATTGTGTATAAAATTTTGCATACAGTATGAAAAGTAAGTAGTTTTTATATACAGTATATGTTAGTTGTTTGCTTAATACAAAACTATATATATAAAATAAAATATAAAAAAAATTGCATATTTAACAAAAAAAATATAATATATAATAATATTGAGTTAGTTTTCTTTTTTTAAAAAAAATAACTAAAATCGATGTCATTATAGTAGTGAATATTTACTAAAAAATTTCTTATCTCTTTTTATTTATTAACACAACATTTTTTTTTATATACAGTATATTATATTATATTATTATTAGTGTATGTATTACACTGCAAACATAATTTAATTTCGTATCGCAAAAATATTGATATCATTAACTTTGAACTTTAATAACTTTTTTATTTTTTAACTTAAATAAACAAATTTGATATCAAATGAAAGAACACTTTTCAAAGTTTATAAGTCAATAAATAAAATTGCATTAATTATCATATTATCTATAAAAAAGCATAAGAAGTAAGAAATGGTAAAAAAAGTTATGTACAAAAAGTATTTTCGTGAAATCAAAACTTTAAATATTATTAACAAAATAAAGCTATTAATTTAGTAAAAACAATATTAATATCGAGTATTGCCTCCGTTGGCATCAATCACAGCCTGCAATCTTCTTGGAACACTTTGGATCAGCTTTTCTGTGACTTCTTCAGGTATATTTTTCCAGACATTAAATAACGACTCTTTAAACGCAGAAAAACTTTTTCTTTCGCTCTTTGGCACACGTCTGTCCAATTCATCCCATAGATGTTCAATAATATTGAGGTCAGGGCTCTGTGGCGGCCACTCAAGTGTCTCAATTTGATTGTCAGACAACCATTTCTTTGCCAATTTTGATGTGTGCTTTGGGTCGTTGTCCGCTTGAAATAAAAAATCATCGCTTATTTGTAGATCTCTGGCACTCTGAAGCAAATGTGGGGTCAAAATATCGTTAACGTAAATGTAGCGGTCCATAGTTGATGGAATTTCGACCAAATGGCCAACTCCCTGGCCTGTCATACACCCCCATACCATAACTGATTTCGAGTGCTTCACAGTTGGACATATATTATCAGGATTAATGCTTTCGCCTCTCTTTTTAAACACTCGTTGGCGACGTTTAGTACTAATAATCTCAAATTTTGACTCATCTGACCACAAGACCTTCCTCCAGTATGACATAGGCATCCGGATGTACTTTCGTGCAAAGTCTAATCGTTTTCTCTGATTTGTTAGGCTTATCATTGGACGTCTTCGCGCAATACCACTGTAATAACCCATTTCTTGAATCCGGTGTCTAATAGTGTTTCGGTGACACAAAATGTTTCTGGCGGCCAACTCTTCCTTAATCTCATCGGTGGTCAACTTCTTATTTTTTGCCACAATTCGACTCAATATCCTGTCCTGTTTAGCACTGGTACATCTTTTTCGACCACTTCTTGCGAGATTTCTAACTGTCCCGTACTTTTCGACTTTCTTTACAATTGATCGGACAGTATTATCAGTTGTTGTAAACAGTTCCGCTATTTTTGCGTATGACTTTCCGGTGCTGACTCTCATATCATACATTTGTTGGCGAATTGCATCTGAAAATTCTTGTATTTTAACCATTTTTATGATAATCACTGCATTTACTGTTTATTTACGTGTATTCAAATTAATAACAATGCATTGGAATCAATTGGTCCCAACAATGTGTCTGAAATCACGCGCGTTTTAAAAACACGAAAATAATTTTTGTACCTAAATTATTAACACCTATAACTTTACCTTGATATATTTTGTTATTTAAACCATTGTTTTGACCATCTAGTATATCAATTTAATTGTGATTTATTACTCTATTATTTGATATCAAATTTGTTTATTTAAGTTAAAAAATAAAAAAGTTATTAAAGTTTAAAGTTAATGATATCAATATTTTTACGATACGAAATTAGATTATGTTTTTAGTGTATATATATCACTATATATAGGAATATATTACACTTTATTTATTTTTTTTTTGTTACTTTCGCTACTATTTGTATGCCTCTGTATAACTGTATTTCTGGGTTTTATTTTTATTTTTTTATATACACTTTAATATAACTAAAATATATTATACAATATTACAAACATACACAACAACAATACTAGTATATACAGTATATGCTATTTTGGTCAATACAATAGTACACAATATATTAAAGTATATATATATATATTGTATATTATTGTTTGTGTGTATGTGTGTGTATGTATATGTGTGTTTGTGTGTGTATATGTGTGTATTTTGTGTATGTGTGTGTATGTATGTGTGTTTGTGTGTGTATATGTGTGTATGTGTGTGTGTATGTGTGTGTTTATGTGTGTATGTGAATGTATATGTGTGTGTATGTATATGTGTATGTATATGTGTGTGTGTGTGTATGTATGTATGTATGTATGTATGTATGTGTGTGTGTATGCAATTGGATAAAGGATAATATACAACAACAATAAAATATGTCAAATCAATGCACTTAAACAATTTGAATTAAAGCACTCAAAATAATTTGCTAAAAATTTCAAATTTATTGTTATATATATATATATCAATTTACAAATGATTACAATAACAATATTAATAATATATCAAAAAAAATATATTATATATAACTATATGTTAGTTAATTGTAATTATTTAAATGATTTAACAATAAAAAAAACTAATAAACATTATTTGGTTTGAATTTATAAATGAAATTAATTATATATATATATATATATTATATGATATTGTATTTAATTAGATGGAAATAATTTCCAAAACAAAATTTATCATATATTAGATTAATTAATCAATTTGTTTGA